CGAAAAAGAAGACACATGCATGGTTCCAACACGTTACGGCCAACTCGTCCATATGGTCTGCACGCACTCGCCATGTTGATGGCGGGCCGGGTTCAGTCTGACCGACCGACCGACGACCAGTAACGCTATTGGCATTAATTGTCAGATCAGACTGGGAAGCGAAGGCGGAAGGCCCAAGGGGATGGTTGATGAGGCGAATTAACTAAGCGCACATCTCTATCCATCCAACCTTACCCTTTCATATTTTTTTCAGTATCTAATAAACTGCTCTTTTGGCATGTGCTGCAATATGCTAACAATGAGCCAAGGCATGTCGAGTCTTTTGACAAAGCGAGACGATTTAACTAGCTCGAAGATGAAAGAAGGGGTGAGCATGCCTGCCTAATTTAGTCCATGTTGGAATCGAGAGTCAGGCGTTAAGTGAACAAAAATCTTTTCTTCTCCTACAACTAAAAAGAACAAAACGTGGACACTTTTTAGTGCGACAATCCAACTTCGTCCTGTCGCTCTGCCCGTGCGATCCTGTGTACGCCGGCTTCCATCGCTTCCCCCTGCGACCCCATGCTCCACCCGGTAGGTGGCCCCACCGCCGGCCCTCCATCCTCTCGGCTCCTCTCGACTCGGTCTCAATACGCCGCCCCCACCCCATTCACCGCCTCCCCGGCGTCCCCGCCCCTTCCCGTCGACACCGGCCCTTGATCATATCCCGTCCCGCATCGACGGCCATGGCGACGAGGACATGTGAGAACCGGGGAGGAGGGAGCAAGTTTGCACAGTCTCCCTTCGCCCCACTCGCTCCCGCTCCACCTCCGCCTCCGCCTCCGCCTCCAGCGCCTGCAATCTGCACGCGCCCCTCGCACAAGTGCGCCCAGTCTACGCACCCCATCCCCTGACGTCATGCCCCTACCTGGCTCTACGCCGTCGCCGCCGCAAATGGGACCTGGCCCTGCCGCAGTCCCACACGGCTCCATCATTCGTCACCCCGGCCTCCGGCACCCCTCCCCCCATCGCTCTGCCCTGCCAAGCTCGACCTCATCGATGTCTGCGGCCCTACCAACCTGCTTCTCCCTGGCAATCATACAGGTAGACAATGAACCCTAGGTGGTTGGTATTCGAATCGCCACCCGGTCTCCATCTGGATAGCGAAATGATGTGTTGCTTCGATGCAATTGCAGGAGCCACGTGTGGATGGACCTGGATTTGGGAGCACATTGGAGCTGCATTTTTGTGCCTCCTGCACCACCCAGCACCTCATCAGCAAGGGCGCCAAGGTCATCCTATCAAGCCACTTGGTGAGTTCCTGGCCTTCCTGTATCTCATCTGATTTGAGGAAGTAATGCTCTTCCCACGCATGGACAACATAGGAATTGCCTTCCTATCATCTGAGTGTTTGTGATAATCTGATTTGCTTTGGTTAAGTAATACTATATACATGGACACATGACAATGGCTATTAGTTGTGACTTTCCTTCAAAACAGCTAATATCACTTCTTCTTTTTCTGTTGTGAAAGAGAATTATTTTATATGGTCAGGTGCTCATCCAGTCCGATGAACTTAGGGAGGTCTGCTTCCTTGAATCCACAAAGGGGTGCATTATGCAGATGCTTGGCTTTGGGGACGCTGTTGTTGTGTGCCCTGCTTGCAGGAAAAGGTCCCCAAATTTTAGTTGGATATGATGTCGTGCTCCAATTTTACATTCAGGTTTGCACTGTCAATTCTTTGGCTTTGCTCTGAGATTAACTATTCGCTATTCAGTGATTTGTCATGGCTTTGCAGGTACAGATCAAATTAGTGAAGCAGGAAATGGCATGAAGATCAATAATACAAGGATGTAGCACAGCTGGGCAAGGGGCACCTGCAGCTGTAACTCAGATGTACCCAAGGTTCATTCAGTTTCCCTCCTAGAACAAGTAACATGTTCATGTTTCCACAATGCTAAGGCCAAAAGGCATGTCATTTTTTGCTTGACATTAAAATAATAATTTGTTTATTAAATAGTGGTCATGCACGTGCGGTACGCACGTGTCTATGGTACAACAAACTCATATCTAAATGGGTGATGGAAGTTGTTCCTATCAACCAGGAAACTTCATTAGCAATATCATAAGCCTCAGTCTACAATCATAAATTCATAGTCATTTAACATTGAATTGAACTGGTGTAGTAAGTTATTGCAAAAATATTTTGCAGTTCTTAACCGAAACGGATCAATTATTCTTGTGCTTCCAAAAAGCCAGCATGAGCTTCAATGACCCTTACATTTTTAGGTCATGCTATATTGTAAATAAAAACATACCTGTAGATAAAAATCATTTACCCTGCTAGAAATGCAAAAGGATATCGAATATGAGTGTCGAGTTTTTACTTCAATAAGGTCATATAGAGTTTCTAAATAGAATGGACAAATATTATGAATAAGATCTCATAAGCTATCTTTTTGAACATGGTGTTTATACTCTTTTAGCAGCTATTTCATACAGCAAATGTCAGGGATCAGCTAAAGGATATAGAAGAAATCTGTATTTCATTGCATTTTTCCCACAAATTTCAAAGTTCAATTGCTAACAATGGAAGCCATAATTGCCAACTTTATACGCGTCCCTAATTTTTTACCACTCTTACGTTTGGTGCATATATCTCGTCGGAGCTCAGGCCATCGAGGTCTAATTCTGATGGGGTCCACCGTCCACATGCGTGGGCTCTATTATCTTTCTCAATAAACTTACCATGCAGCCCACTAAGATCTTGTAGGAAATCAACCTCTTATCTCTGCTTATGTGCTTGATCTACTTGTGCCCGCTTCTTGGCAGGTTTGGCTCTTGTTGGCTTCACAACTTTTTTTTTGCTTCAGAACCTACACATGTAGAGATAGTTTTTTGTAAGAACATTGTGCAATATAAAAAGGATAATATCTCACTCCAGTTCATACGGGTCATTCTCCAAGATCAGGGGTGTGGGAATCATTAAATCATCATCTCAATTTCAAATAAATACTTTAGGGACACGAAAGCTCATTAGGGAATCACAATGTAGCTGAGAGAACTACTCTAATCATAAACTTGTCTTTGCTGTCCAGTTAAGCAAAAGGGGCTTCAGAGTCCAGACCTTGCTCAAGAGGAAGAGCAGAAAATAGTTTGGGCATGCAGGAATCATTAAATCATCCAATTTCAAATAAATATATATTCAGGGACACGAAAGATAATCAGGGAAACACACTGGAGCTGAGAAAACCACTCTATTCATAAACTTGTTTGCTGTCCAGTTAAGCAAAATGGGATCCAGACCTTGCCCAAGACTTAAGAGCAGAGAGTTGTGGTTACTTTTTCAATCCCTTTCTCCAACCCAGTGTCTTCAGAAAGTCTACACATAATGCAAAGTCAGATATATCATTGTACCACTCAGTTTTGAACTGCATTAACATACATATATATAGGAGAAATCATTATTTGTTTACTGAAGGGGAATCAACTTACATTGGCCATATCAATTGTAAATCCACCGAATGCCCTGAACAAGAAAACTTCCATGAGTTTATAAATTAATTAAGAATAGCTTCACAAAAAATGTGTTGTTCCCATAAGAGCCAGAAAGTTGTCAATGTAAAGAGTTTCCGACTGAATTTACGACTGGGTCTGCTTGTCCTACCAGACTGAGAGATTTAGATGCGTTGGATCTGAGTTTAAAGTAGATCCAACGGACAAGAATCAAGGTGGTTAGAACATATTTGTGTGAGAATTTATTTTTAATTCATTCGCTCTTTTATAGTATAGATTTACCGTTGTGTTTGTTTCTATATCTCATGAAAAGTTTGTGGTCGTATCTTATATGCAAGGAGGCAGTGAGAAATGTTTTTTTTTCAATGAATTGGCAAGACATTGTAGCCATCCTTTTCTGATCCTGATTTCATTTTATTTTCTCTCTCCTTCAATGCATTTGAGCTACTCTTCATTCTGTATATTTTTATAAGGATTTTCCAGTTAAGGTTGGCTGACTTGTCGACGATCTCCTCTACAGCAGCATGAAGTAAACCTTCCCTTTGCTGACATGTGTTGGACCATTTGCACATGTGTTGGACCATTTGCAAAGGTACGAACCAACTCTGAATAGTTCAGATTACACATTTGCAAACTCTGATCTGGAATCGCAAAGGTACGAACGCTAACTGCATCTCTGTTCTTCAGTGGCAAATAAAAGATCGATGTTAAGGACACGTAACATAAAAGATATACTACACTAGCATAGACACAGAGACGACCAATAAGCTTGGATGCTCAATATTTAAGATGGCATTTTGATTATACCAAACCTAGTAAACAAAGGCTAGGAGCAGTTGCACAAAAGCCTTTAATAATAATATCAACCTCTAAAGAAAGAGAGTATAGATTAGTAGCTACTAGCTAGTACTATACTAGAAACAGCTCCAAAGCTGAAACTGCGAGGATTCCCGGCCTTATCAACTTGTCCACACTCGATTATTTTCTTCCTGGGGACCGACATACAGCTTGTTCGAGAGGCCGTATCGTATCGTAGATTATTTACTGCTGGCTGGTTTGATGTGAGAGAAAAACACTGCTTTCGGCTGAAAATTTACGATCGTTTACGAACAAACGAACAGGCTCATAAACTTTTGCTTATTGTTCCGAGTCTAAGGTCATAGACCACAGTGACCGCACACGTCTCACACCGTACTAACAGGGAAGCTTCAGCCTTCAGCCACATGGGGCCTAGCACTAGGGGTCATGCTGATGCACAGCACAAATGGTGGCATGCATGGTGTCAGAGAGAAGAAAAGCACAACCCACCCAATGGCACCACTTGTGCCATGCACACTCTGGCACTCTTTCACATTGTTTTGACCAACCTGCCCTTCAATTTCATATGGAAAAACGATAACCGGTGTAGTATACTAGGCTATATAATCCACAAACACGGACAGGGTTTTTCGCAAGAATTTCCCAGCCTAAGAACCAGCTCTGGAACAAGCTTCCTGATCGTCAAAATGACGACGGGTGCGCGTGGCTACTTCTTGGTCACCGCGGTTGCCGTCGTCCTTGCGCTTCTCCCAGCCAGCGCCACAGCCGCCGGCCTCAAGGTCGGCTTCTACAACAAGTCATGCCCATCGGCGGAGACCCTGGTGCAGCAGGCGGTGGCTGCCGCCTTCAAGAACAACAGCGGCATCGCCGCCGGCCTCATCCGCCTGCACTTCCATGACTGCTTCGTCAGGGTATGTGCTGCGTTCTTCCTCTTCGCTTCTGCATGCATTTCCCTTTCCACTGTCTGTTTGCCGAGCGGCTATAATGGCTGTCAATGGCTTGTGTGCTCCCTGTTGAGATCGATAGGATTTCTTTGTATGCATCATGTACCTGTTGTTGCATAGTTCGGACATGGTTGTTTATTATTCATGTTTTCGGGAGATGAAACAAGGCACAATAATCAATCATTAATTAAACTATCCCATAACAATAGGAAATTAAAGGGTTGGTACCATGCATACCATTGTATCTGCATTTTGAATACTGACACAATATCTAATATGCAATTCTAACTGCTAATTTTTTTATAGAAATAGTAATGGCAAAATTTGTAAAGTTGTTATCATATGAGAAATATCACCGGTCATGAAAAAACGAGTGCTACTATTTCCACATCACTACCAAAATGGTGGATTTCTCCTATTGTTTTTAAGCAGTAGTAAAACACTACCACTAGTCATAGCACATGGAAATTTCTCTAGGAGGCATCTAGTAGGGAAAATGTATACTAAATTTTAAATGCTAAAACACTAGGAGAAAGCCCACCTCACTAGGAGAAGTCTAAAATTCTGGTTGTGAATAACTTTGAAATATTAGTTATTCTCTTTCTGTCCTGAAATAATATAAGGTGTCTAAGCATTCAAAATTTATCTTATATTAAAGTATTGTAGGTGAAATAACTTCTCAATTCAGTTTAGAAAGGCATCATTTATATGCATAGTACCTTTTTATATTTTTTTCATTTTTTCATTTTTATTATACATCATGTTTCCTACAACCACCGTTTTACTATTTTACGTAGATCAGGTACGACTCGTGCTGATAGATTCAACAAGCACCGATAATAGATGACACTCGTAGAGAACCGAGCTTTATTCTCAGTGGAGAACCCCCTCTAGTCCTGGTTTCCCACCTGGGAGCAAGTATCCGAGATTAAAGGGGTCCTTTAGTCCCGGGTCAGGAACCGGGACTAAAGGAGTACCTTTAGTCCCGGTGGGTAACACCAACCGGGACTAAAGGTGCCTTCTGACATATCACGATGGCCGGCACCTTTAGTCCCGGTTGGTAATACGAACCGGGACTAAAGGTTTTTTTCTTTTTTCTTTTCTTTTCATTTTTTTGTTTTCGAAGTCGTATTGTACGCTGCTAATTATACGTTTATACGCGCGTATAATATGTTTCGGTTCAAGCACAATTAACGTATTAAATCACACAATTCAAGCATAGAAAAAAAAATATATATATGCATGCATGCATCATATATATATTTACATGCATGCATGCATATGTGTATTTTACATTATATTATTTCATGTGCATATATTACAAAAAGATTACATTACAGTTGTTGTGATATAACAAGTTTTCTCTCATCCTCTAGCTTGGCTTCCATGGCAGTGTTGGGTCGAAGTAGAACTCGCCCTTGGAATCGATGACCTGCTCATTAAAAAATCCGGCTAAAGACTCTTGAATTGCTTTGATTTGGTCTTGCCGTATGACATTTTCCTCCAACCATCGAGTCTACAGGTTTGAATTAAAGGAAAATAAATTAATATATGTACATATATTTATATAAAGACATAGTAACACAATCAATAATAATAATTAAATGAATATATAGTGTATTTTTAACGTACTTTGAGTCTCTCTGTAGGAGTTCTTTGGGAGATCACCTTGATAAACTTGCAAACATAGTAACCACAGTAGTTGTTCTCCTGTTCCTGCCTCAGACACCACTTTACGAGAAAAAGATTTGTCATCCAATCTGGTGATCCGGTGAAAGCTATATGTTTAATTAATAAAGATGATGCGATTCAGGGGACTTACTTTCAAAGGGATTACATTCAGTGGCGCTTTGCATTTTTCCATGTGTTGCTTCTCAATAAAGGTTTTCCAAACACTGCCCAATAAAAAATTTGCCACATCATCAGATATAGTTAATCATCATGTTTGTGTGTATATATAGTTGCTAGAGATCCCGAAATTATCTCTGGATAATATCTATCATATCTTGGTAGTCTTGTTGTGGTTTTCTCATCGAGTCATAGATTATCAAGTGACTTTTCACCAGATCGATGTCCATCAATATCCAGTGATTGCTGCATGTGTTTATAGGATATAACGCATAACACTCATTAATTAACTAGAATCAACATATGAGCCATTAAGGATGATCGATATTATTAACACTCACTTGAAGTTATAGGGAAAGAGTATATCCTTCTTGTGGCGTTGGTTCACGAAGAAGTTTATGAGGTTACTCTCTGACTCAGACTTCCAATTAGTCTTTGAAGTAATTGGGTCTTTGAATATTATATGGGGATCAACAAAACCAATTTTATTGCAGCCTTCCTTTCTGAGCTCTGTCATTGTAAATCTACATATATATAGTACTTGTTAGGATAATTTATATGCATATACACACATATGATGAGTTTAATAATAGATCGAAAGAATTATTACTTACAGGCAATAGCAGCTAATGATAACTTTGTCCAGAGAGGTCAGGTGGCATAGTTGATGAAATTCTGCAAAGTCAACATACATAACATCATCGCCACGGAACCAATGTTCGTCTCTAATTCTGACACCAACGCAAAAGTCTCTACCGGTAGACGCCTGCATGTACCACTTGTTTAGCAGGTACATTTGCGTCCTCAGATCAGATAAGGCTTGAGGGTTGTATAGACTCTGGCCTAGTACAAATTTTTTCTTCCAAATATCAACCTCCGCCGCACTCTCAATGTTTCCATCACCAAACATCTGGTAAAGGTCGAGACCAGTCTCATCAATAAATTCACCAAGGTGATCCAAATCGACATCCGGAGGTATGTTTGCATGATGCATTAATCCTAAATTCGAACCATATTCATTACCAACAACTAGCGGGGGGATTGATTGGTGCGCTTGTTGTCCGAGTTGGGCAACTCCTTTCCCTGCCCGCTTCTTTTTCTATGCCACCTCAATTGACTTGGTGAGAGTGCGGTCATAGTCCGATAACGTTGATTTGGACGGCTTACGAGATTCTCGATGTTGTTGCTGGTAAGAAGCCACCCTTTTTCTTAGAATATCTGGAGCTACTAATAAGTATGGTTTCTCCGGGTTTCTCCTTGCTTGATTCTTTTTAAGTTTGTCATAGAATCTAGACATATCTTTTTTATATGCATCAGTTCCTTCTTCCTTCTCTTCAGATATTATTTTGGGAATAGCCCTTGGTTTCACGGTGGCTTTCTTTGCAGGCGGGGACTGGTTCTTCGTTTGAGGGGCTGGCCTCTTGCTAGGCTTCTTGGTAGGCGGGGGCGGGGGAGGCGTTGGAGACCTCCTTGGAGGTGTTGGCAGCGGCGTTGGAGACCTCCTTGGAGGTGGCGGCTACGGCGTTGGAGACCTCTTTGGAGATGGTGTGGATGCAGCCTCGTCTTCCAACACAATGTCATCATACAGAGCACTATGATGATCTGGCGATTGAACAATTGGATTTAGGTTGGGGGAGGATCTGCTACAAAAAAAGGAATGACATATTATTATGAGCAGATTGTTAATTATTTAAGCCAATACAAATTAATGATGTAGTGTTTTCATCCGCACGTACCTATGGTGAGGTAGTTCAGGAGGAGGAGGAGCCGACATCCCTGGAATGATAATGTAGCGCTTGCGCCATAGAATGAATGTCTTCTCCGCTTCTCCTAGAGTCTTCTCGCCATCACCTCCAGAAATGTCAAGAGGCAAATCACTAAAACCTTTTTCAGCTTTATCTACCGAGATGGTAGCATATCCTTCTTGGATTATATTCCCATGAATCCTTGGTGTCTTGGTTCGGTCGATAGGATTAACAAGACCGATAGCCACCTTGATTGTGGAATTCCCCTTCGGAATGTGTAGCTCACACGTTGTACAAGGTTCAGTGACGTCATCCACAGGGAAGCGCAGTCATGTGTCCCCTTGATTTGGTATCTCCGTGGAAGCGCAACTGCTTTTCAACTGAACAGATTGGCTAATGTTGATTCCTGGCTCTGATGCCTGCTTGCTTGCACTCACTGCTATTTGCACTTGCCTTCTGATTTCCTCCTGCATTCTCGCTTCAAGGTTTTTTTCCCGCTCCTGTGCTTCATGCACCGCTTCCTCCAACCTCTGGAGCCGTTGTGCCTCTTCTTCCTTCTTTCTCTGGCGGCTTCTGTAGGAAGGTCTGTCCTGAGGGAATCCATGCTCCCATGAGACACTTCCTTTGCCTCTAGTTCGGCCACCATGTTCAATAGTCCCGATGGCGTATGTCAGCTCATCCTTCTCTCTGTTGGGCCTGAACACACCACTAGCAGTAGCTCTCTGAGCATAAAACAATCTTTCTGCTGCTAAATTTGGAATGAACAATCTTTCAACATACGCCGAACATCATGAATACCATTTTTTGAATGAACAAATTCTATTATTTCATGTACCTGCAGTTCAAATTTGGAATTGTCGGAAAAATTCAACGAAACAAAAATAATTAAAAAAATATAGCACACAAACTCAAAATTGTCCCAAATTTTGAAGTTGAGATGTAATTACTGTATCAAGACCCCACAAAAAAAATTGGAAGAAAAAAAAACAAAAAAAAATATTAATTTGCCGAGTGTCAGGGGTGGCACTAGGCAAATGGGTCTTTTGTCGAGAGCCGGCCACGTGGCACTCGGCAAAGGCGAGCCGGCCTGGCAGGCCCTGAGCCTGCCACGTGGCAGCTCTTTGCCGAGTGCCACGTGGCCGGCTCTCGGCAAAGATGGCGTCTTTGCCGAGTGCCGATCTGGCACTCGGCAAAGCCTTTAACCTAAAAAGGCCGACACGGGCCGGCCCAACCCCACTCCCCCTCCTCCTCCTCCTCCTCCTCGCGCCCGCCGCCACTCGCCGCCGCTGCTGCCCTCCCCGCCGCCGCCCCTTCCTCCGACGCGCGCCAGGAGCAGCCGGCCCGGCGGCCGAAGCTCCCCGCCGCCCGCATCCCGGCTGCGCGCCTTTCCTCCGACGCCCATGCAGCAGTAGCCGCGGTGGCCCGAGCTCCCCGCCCGCCCGCATCCTGGCTGCTGCGCCCTTCCTCCAGCCGCGCCATGAAAGCAGCCGGCCGGCGGCCCGAGCTCCCCCCGCCCGCATCCCGGCTGCTGCGCCATGAGCTCCGCCCAGCGCTGCCAGAGATCCTTCTCCTCCTCTCCACCGTGGAATTTCGTGGTCCCGTTCTCCATCTACTGCAGGCGTGGATCGTGGCGGTGGAAGCTCCCTCCTTGAGCATAGAGCACCCTGCCGTCCATCCGGTCAAGAAGACTTGACCACATCCCTGCAACCGCCGCCATGA